GCAGCCTACATGCTTTGTTCTTGCCTGTTCGCCCACACCAACCGGATCTTAATTTGGCACTGCAATGGAGTCAACATTTATTAGCAATGATTTTTCCAGTTTCAAAAGATGACATAAAAGGCACCATACAGAATTACATCACGCTTTATTCTTTTCCAACAGGATTAGCAGCAGGTACGGCACAGCTAATGAATTTGTTGGAATGAGATTTGGCTGAATCATAGAAACCATTACTGGGTAACAAAGATGGATGGTACTGCCAGAGCTGAACTGAGATGTGCTCCTGTTTGGTAACAATTGGATAGACTGTAATGTGATATCCTCAACAGCTCAGAAGTGCATTAGAAAATCACCCTTATGTTCAATATCCATTCATCACTGTACCACCAACAACATTGCATTCAGCTGTGTTATTGGATGAATTGGGCTTGTTCAGTGGGACTGGAAAATGTTTGCTGGCCTCTGCAGGATTGCTTGGTTGAGGGTCCACCACCTTCTCATCTCCATAGAGATGTCATTACCGTAGTTTTCGGACTATAAGGTGCAACGGATTATAAGGTGCAATATTAATAATGTTGAATTCTCTTGTCTATTTTCATACAATGGCGCACCAGATTATAAGGCGCATTAACAGAAACAAACGGACAACACTTGAGACTGATGCCTTAGCCCAGGCATCCATGATCCATTAGCAGATCGTGGTGTAACTCACCCAGCATTGCCTCCCTATCTTGGTGAATGAGGATTATGAATGTGAATGTGGGTGGATCATTTAAGTTTTCTTTTCTTTTTATTTCCTGCGAGGAGGACTCAAATATACATTGAGTAATAATGTGTTTAACTTGAGCTTTGCGCACACCTGTTACACACAAAACTTAAAACCACATGGTTAATTTGTATAAACTATAAGGGCTGAAAAAACAGCTTTGCTCTTTGTTTCTTAATGTTGGTCAGCTTCTATCAGACTAAAGGACTCAAGACTCAGTGGAATATGTGTGTTCTTTCTGCGACAAGGCGACAGCGGCACTGTTCCTTGAGTGGATGAAGAACTATACTTCACTCTTTACTCCGCGAGGCTCCTGACTATGGTAGCCGTACTGCTCCGAAAATCCATCAAGCGGTGCAGCTTCGTAGCTTATGAAAGTCATATTAAAATATTTTGACAGATTTTTGAGTGCTGTGTACCACATAAAATTGGTTTGAGGTCAGTAAGCACAATCAGAATTAATAAATAAGGCACACTGTTGATTTAAAAAATAAATAAATAAATAAAGGATTTTAAGTGTGCCTTATAGTCTAAAAAAAAAAAAAAACAGTATATCATTTAATTGCCTGGAATGTTCAACAGTATGGTATTGGGCTTATTTATCTATAGAGAGGTGGGGCCATCATGCCAAGCCACAAGTCAGAGCTTAGGAGACGAGAGCTCAATCACAATAAGAATAACTGTTTTTCAAGGAATTGTTTGGCAGTTAAAAAAATAAATAAAAAATTGTTAAACAAATGCAAATGAAAGATAATTGAATACCTTACTGTAGAACATTTCAGGCAAAATAATATGTCCATAACTTCAAGATGGCAGAACCCATACTGGAAAAAAAATAAAAAATAGTGCATCATAGTTTGGGAGCAATTGGTTCCTTTATCTTGTTGGTGTTGTTGGGGCTGTTATAAATATACGACAACAACAGAGGATATTGCAGGTCTGGGTTCAGACCAAACTGACTGAGGGTGAATTCAAGTTTCAAAGGGTGCAAACATAATACGCTTCCATTAAATTACATTATTTTACGCGCTTGAAATGAGGGTGCAAACATTTTTAACTGCGTTTCCAATTCCCCCTTTTGCACTTCTGTAGACCTGGGCCAGGGATATGGGGAAAACAGCACAGTCACAAATAGAAAGTTGGGAGTGGAAAAAGTTAGGAACCTCAAAAAATATGTTGGTAGTTCAGTCTCTCCCGTGAGGCAGATTGGAGGATGGGTCAAATGCTAAAGATTAATAGTCCCCCATTACTAGGGCTTTAACGTATCTTATCCTTATAATGAGGAACAACTAAAACTAAATTGCGTCGCTGTATGCAAAATATCTAAGTTATCACAAAGTAAACTTTCAATCATAATTAAAAAAAAGGTACTAAGCTATAAAGTTAGCAAACAAATGTTAAACTGGTAAATTAGAGAAAAATAAACCTGCTCGAGTTGAGTAGTGCTTTGGCCTGGGGTGCCTGTGCACAGTTGGGAGAAGAATGGATCCGAGCTTGACTGAATGCCTGGCGGTAATAAACAAAGACAACAAACGTGAAAGAAGAAACATCTCTTTGTCAGTCTATTGATGAACACGAGAGGCCATTTGTCAGCGCGCGCCGGAGAGCTCCTGTCTGCTGGGATTGTGATGCATTCATATAATACGCAGTGTCTCATTCACTCTCTAATTTGTGACGATGTGAGAAGATTTATCATGTAGCAGATGCTGGGGGTCCTCCGTCTCCCTCCACGCGCCCAGAAAACACAGGTGCAGGTGTCGGGGGGGAAGGCTTTACAGCGGCGACGATGGGAAACAGCTGGTCCAAGAGTCCTTCTGTGTGACCTCGCCGTATTACAATGGCCACCTCTGAATAAATCTGTCGCATGTGGTTAGGTGAGAACTGTCGGGGCAATTTCCAAAACATGGGCCACCTCCCTGCCCCTTGCTTTTGCTAAATATGCTAGGTAACACAATAACAGCATGATAATAACAAGGTAAATAAAAGTGTCATTATAAAGGAGACATGGTAAGTACTAATTGAAACCACGGGGTATTTGTCCTTCCATCCATTTTTTTCTGCTTATCTGGGGGCAGCAGTCTAAGCAGGGACTCCCAGACTTCCCTTACCCCAGACATTTCCTCCAGCTCCTCAGCCGAGATACCTTCTTTATTTAATGGTAATATGATTAATCCTCAGTGTAACTAAGTATGAAGGCTGCAGATTATCAAAAAGCATGGCTAATATTTTCTTGTTAATATATATGTATCCCTTGTTATCCCAGTTACCATGCTATTTCTACTTTATTACCAATTAAAAAGGTTTGTTTTAGGAAAGGATTTTTTCCTTTAATTTCTGCCAAAATGGAGCGCTGGCAAATCCTATGTGTATCACTGACTAAGAAAATAAGACTGGAGAACAAAGTAAGTACAGCGTAGTGGATGTGTATGGGGTAGATCAGGGTTAGACTGGCACAGTGACGTCTTTAGTACAGGAGAATAAAGATGACTCAAACATGCATGAATCACTAACTACGACTTCGAGTGGGTAAATGAGAAGGGAAAATTATTATAACATGGGTAAAAGTTCTTAAAAGTTTATTTTGCACTGTAGTTCTCCTTTAATCAAGCCAAGTCAATGCTTTTTTGATAGCATTTGTTCAAATCAAATCAGCATCTTTATAATTTAATTAGTATGCAGCAGAGGCCAGGCACATGTTAACAAACAGGGTCTCACATTAGACCCCTCTGCTCTAAGGGAGCAGATGTAATATTACTTCAATGCTGCGTCAAGCAAACAACATGAAGCAAGATGGCAAAGAGCTGGACTGGAAGGCAAACGGTTCAAAGGCTGTGTGATTTGTCCAAACAAAGTGAGCTGTAATACCATATTAAGATATCACTATGTACTGTAATGTTATTGTATACTACTATATTCAATTTGTGCAAGTTTACTATCCAGAAAACATAATAAAAACGTACAAGTAATGTAATAATGTACAAACAGTCACAGTTCTAAACCTGAAACCCTAAAGTGTTTGTGTTGAGAAAAGAAACTTTGATTAAATTACTTGGCTTCAGCAGCACACCTACACGTAACAGCAAGCGATAGAGCAACAACACTTTTTAAATCTTTTATTTATACAGGTTGGCCTCTTGAGATTGTATGTCTCATTTTCAAGAGAGACCTGTTGACCATAAAATAAGCAAATAAATACAGAGGCTAGAATATGACCATATAATAATATTTTCTTCTGTTAAAACTAAGATTGCTTCCATTTCTTTCAGTTTTTTTTTGTTTGCACATTGCTGACAGGAAGGACAACACCAGTCCAACAATCTCTGGATTTACTGCCTACTCAAAAGTCCAAACAAGTGCTAAAAGCAAAGCAAAAGAAAGATCTACTTGAAACATGGTGAGAATATACATGCATGAAGTCATTAATATAAGTAAGTTAACAAATAAGTGTATATGTTTTTTATCTGATTCAGAAAGAGTGATCAGGATGATAGGGATGATGTAGAGCAAGTGTCTGTCCCACTGTCTGTCCTCTCTATGGGCAACCATTATAACCCCCCACAGGACTCATCTCTCCCAATCATCCCCTCCATGAGCAGGGTGCACTGGTGAATTAAGTGCAACTCATATTTAAGAGCTTGTATTGAATCTGGCACAGTAGTCTCCCAGCGTCTTCTTAAAATGGAAGATACAGCTTACTAACTTTAAAAAGAAATCATACATGAATGGCATGTATGGTAAATGGTCATGGTCACATTTTTATTTAACACTTTTCCACCTTGAAGGCACTCAAAGTGCTTTACATCAAGGAAACCACTCTCCCATTCACACACATTCATACACCAGTGTATGCAGACACTGAGGGCAAGGTGGGTTAAGTGTATTGCCCAAGGACACAACAACAGCATTTGTCTGTGACCGCCCTACCAGTGATGTTTATCTCAATAGTAGAATTTGAACCTCCAATCTTCGGATCAGTGGACAAACCAACAGAGCTACTATGACTGTCACAATGAGGCTCTTCTTGCCTCAGGAATGCCACAGGAATGAGTAAGATAACATATCAAGACCCACGCTAAATAATTTGAAACAATTTGAACACGAATCAATTAAAATTTGACTCATTACAACCTTAGGTCAAGCAACATTTGTATGCATCCCTTACATAATCACACACATAAAACACATGGGCTCCCACATAGTCTGTCAGTGTCATGATGCCTTTGGGTGTACTCACGTATTCTCCATATGTGTCCTGTACTACTGGAGGGGCTGGCCTGTATCCAGCGGCCGGGGGGGCACCTCTGGCTCTCTGCACCCCTCTAGCCCCCCTGGAGACGGCTCCTCTGGGTGCTGCTCCTCTGGGCACGGCAGCATGCAGGGGCGGGACACCTCCTCGACTTCTGACACAACACACAAGAAGAAGTATTTTTAGATGAAAGCTGATCCAGGGTTGTTTTGGGCTCACATCCTTCCCCCCGCGGAGACTAAGTGCATCAGACGGTATAAAGAAGGAAAAATTGTTAGCATAGCAGGATCAGGTGGCATATATAACTTGCACATATGAGCTTAAAGCAATACTAGATTCTGTTACATGGATACAATTAGATGGCCAATACAAAATGTCCACTGCATTTCGTATCTTCATGATGAAACAGTGTAATTGCTAATATTTGAACATCTCCCCATTCCCATGGAGACATTATAAAAGGAGGAACCTGTTGCATATTTATCGACTTCTGCGTTGGGTGTATCATATTAGCCAGCTCATGCAGCAAAGGATTGGTAGCCATTACAGACTATTACTGCGGTCTAATTAGCAAATCAGTCAATAACACATAATACAGTTGCAAATGGAAAAAAAGTAGTTTAGTAAAAGGTATCACATGGTTGATTAATGACTCAAAAGTTAATCAATTTTGCATTTGTTATGACTATTCTTTTTTGTCTCTGAAATTAGAACTATACTTTCAGACACTTAATTTTAAATTTGTTGGAAACTTTTCAGAAATTTGAAACCTGACATAAATCTTACAATAATTGGACTATCAACACAGTAGGAAAATACTTATGATCCATTGCAGTTAAGATTTCAGTTTCAATACTGTACACTAAATTGCTTGTGTTTTCTACTTTTAATTTACAACAAACAATGCCACATATTGGGTGGGGGTGTTCTACATGATCATCTGAAAGCTCAAGAAAAAAATACAAAATGGATTTAAACAACACATTTTCAGGCGCCTGTGATCAATGCTACTTGTGACTGTAGTGTTATTTGAGAGGGACTTGTGTAACAGCACAAATCAGCTCACCTGTAGTTTCATCTATGTCATTTCTTTTCTTGGTCAGATTGTGTTAAAAACTCAGAAAAAAGTCTAACAAAGCCTCAGACAGAGCAGTGCCTACAGTTAGAAACATACCCCAGAGAATGTTGATGACATCAGCTGCAAAGTATCAGCACATGTTTTTCAATGCAGGTCATGTGTTCTGTTTTACCACTTGTACCAAACAAGGTTTCACATAAAAATACTGTTTTACAAGTTTATCGAGTTTATCGAGTCTTTGGATATAATTGAATGATTATGGCACTGGTAATGACATTTTGCAGGGAACAACGATCATCTCACTGATTACAATTACAAGGTACACTGTTACAAAATTAATCTGTGTTCATTTGAAGCCAAACATTTCAAATTTCAGTATCAGGTACAGCAATTTAATACAATTTGTACCACTATGGATAAGATAGGATTAGCCAGGCTGGTGCCACCTGGTGCCTCCCCTCAATTTCATTTCTCTCCAGTGACTAGGTCAGGAATCGAAATACACTAGACGGTTTGGAAGAACCCCGGAAGTTGTAGACTGCTCTCTGGCCAATCAGTGAAGAGCTGTGAAGCCATGACGTCAAACTCAAGCGCCTGTCTGGGTCCCTTTTGTGGTACAGCACAACAGTAAACAAAGCTGTCGAGATGGATGTAGACGAAGCCATACATTCTGTGTTGACAACAGTTCCCAAGATTGAGGATTAAAAGCCGGAACAAATGGAATGTTTAGTAAATTTTATCAAGGGGAAAGACGTTATTGCCCTTTTCCTACGGGATTTGGAGCAGCGATTGGTTAAAAAGTATCGCCTACCACTGAGCAAACAAATCCTAATGCTGCAAATTCATCAGCCAGTTTCACGAAGTGTAACCAGCTGATGAATAAGGCTAGGATAGGATAGCTATCCCCCCAAATAATTATACAACAATGATGTCACCAATCACACTAATGTATTCAAACAAGAATTCTGGATAAATGCTTTGCTGAAGGGCACAATGTGAGTATAAAGTAGGAGATCAGAGCACTGTTTGCCATTATGATAAAGCTCACAACAACTTCAACTAGCTTGTGTGCATTTCCTGAATCTCAGGACAATAAAACACTTTATAATTAGATGCAGACCGTACAGAGCTGACTTATTTTCATCTCAAGAGCTGCTTACATAATATATTTGTACTGGGGCAAGAAAATATTTGAAGAATTGCAACAAAACTGGTCATCAGCAGAGAAAGCAACAATGTTTAAGTATACATTACACTTTTCAGGTATGGTAAAAATAATGAAAGGTTAAATATTGAAGATTTCTGCCTTTTGCCTTCTCCTTCCGCTCCAGTGACCAGAGTGATTCTCAGTATAAGTCCAGCTTTGATTCGGATCCACTGAGCAGCGGCGGACTTTGAGTAGGAGGTGGAAGAGGAACCGCGAGGGTGGAGGCCAACTTCCCTGCAGTCAACAAGTGAATCATTTCTCTATCCGCAGCCAGCCGTGGGGTGCTATTGTCTCTCTGCCCATTACTGCAAATACATACAGATGTTCTTGTATGTGTGTTCATATGGAGGCAACGGAGATCTGAGTGATTCTATTTAAAGATCTTAACATTTTATGATCTTAGTTTAAACCAGTGTTTTTCAACCATTTTTGAGTTGCCGCCTACTAAAATACTACAAAATTACACAAAAAAATGTCACTGTGATGAGTCTGGTTCTTTTTATTTGGAAATTATGATTTTTCAAGACACATTAAATAAATTAAATGCACTGGTTAAGTTCCTTAAAATTTTAAGAGCACATGACAAGGCAATCCATGGCATTTTCGATTTCAGCTATTGGTAAAGTGTCATAATGGAAATGTATCTGTGGTAGTAGAAGATGGCAGGCCTCAAGGGACATAAATGTTCTGCTTCTGCAACTTCTAGTAAAAGTCTCATGTATGAACCAATGTTTTTTCTTGATAATCCCAATGTGTACTAGAACGACACCCAAGGCATTATACTACTACAACTTGAAAAATTGCAGCTCCCACGGCACTCCAGTCAGAAGGGAGTATTACCCATAAACACTGAGAGTGAAAACTAAATCATGTTTTACTATCACTTTCTTGGCCTGCAGTCATAATTGCTAATATTGTTTTGCATATCTCTATTACTGAACTAGAAATAATTGTACAAAAATACCAGGTTAAAAATAGTTGAGTTGACAAGTGCATGTTGATTGTGTAAAAGAATAGCAATTTGGTTCAATATGAAATCCACAAAAAACAAGCATGTTTTTTGTGTAGTCGTTAGCATAATTACAAATCATTGCAGAAAAAAATTTGAATAAACATCACATTTCATTTTCTCTACAACAGCTGTTTATGCTTTTGGAATTGGTTCTGAGAAATCTAATGCTAAATTTCAAATTGATTAAACACGTTTTCAAAGATAATTTAAGATGCGCTGTACTATACTTTGTGTGATGTTTTCCAATGTCTAACTACAAAGATTGCGTGTTCAAAGTGTCCTTGCTGGACACCTTTAACAGAAAAAACACATTATAACATCAGCTATCCAAGTCACTTCAAAATAGTGTACCTAATTTGAAACGTACATGTACAGTTGCCTTTGGGACCTGAATATCAGATAGAAAATGCTAATTACTGCATCATTTTCACAAAAGACTATTAAACCTGAAGGAATAGCACGTCTTTGTGTGTGACCTTGTTTATCTCCCAAAACTGATGAAAGATTTGTGCTTTCTTTTCAAAGACAGAGAACAAACAATAATCTGCGCTCTGTGCCTTTTTGGTCTTGTACACAAAGCTTTTAGAACAGTCTAATGGCCAATAGTGTTATATTTGTAGTCCTGTTGGGTCTCCGGAGAGGCTGAATTAGCGTGGGTTCACAGGAATGCTCCACAGCCAAGGACATTAACATATAAAGGCTTTTTTATGGAAATTTGGCACAACTTTGCTAATGATTATGGGCATTTACTATTATTTCTATTATAGGCTATAGTGTCTCATGTTGAAAACACATTAGATTTGGTTCAAATGCAGAGAAGATTGCATTTGAACAGCAAATGAAAAATTGATGTTGGATAACTGAAATTTGCAGAAGCATTTTAAGCATTTAAAAGTAAAAAATGTTTCCAAAGCATTCAGTCAAGTGAAGCCAAACCATTTCATAAAAAGAATAATGTTTTGAAAGGGCCTATATTACCCCATTTTCTCATCTATGTTATAAGTTTTTTCCACATCAAAAACATTCCTGGAGTTGTGTTTTGTTTCATTCACACATGTTTAACACATAAACCCTGCATATTTAGACTGAGAGTTCTTCACTCAAAACTAAAATATTCTGTTCCTCCTCCACGTCATGTAGTAATACAGAAAGAGTTTCACTGTGTTTTCAAATTCCATACACCTTCTCTAGAATCATTTGGATAATTTTAGCCCTGAAATTGCCACTTTCTGCTGAACTAAGGGTAAAAGGTAGCTGTTAACTACCACTTCATGGTGGAACAGGGCAGTTTGAACTTGGGAGATGTAGACAAATGAATAATAAAGGATTGCGCAAAAGTGTGTGAATAAAACAAAGCACAACTCCAGGTATGTTTTTGAGAAGGTAACAACATTCCAAAATGGCTCAAAGCTCTCAAGAGTAAATTTAGTTTAAAATAGGAACCTTAAAGTATACTCACAGCAAAGGGGAGAGGGTTCTATTCCTGTACTGTGAGGTGAATTTTAAACATTTTTATACAGATGAGGAAGTGTCTTAAAAAAAGGACACAATAGTAGTATGGGCTAATCATGATTCATTCACTTGTACATGTTCTGTATATTTTGTTATTTACTTAAGTTAAAGAGTTTCATGCACTATTAAAATGACCTCTATGAGTACATTAATTACCATATTGAGGTACAGAAATGTGCGGAAGCTTTCCCAAACTTCTGAGTCGAGCCCTTGAATAGTTTGTTTTTAAAGTTGAGGAAATCGTACTTTGCACATCTGTTCCTTGCAACAGGTGCGTAGGCAGGGAATAGTAGGTCTACAAAAATCTCTGGCACTCCCACACACTGACTGGCAGGCATTTTTAGTTTTCTACACCAAAATGTTTTCCCGTCTTCGAAATAAATATGACAACTGAAAGCCAAAGAATGTGTGGGAGTTATTTTGTGTGCTCAGGTATGGATACGGTCAGTACACAATGGTTTGGCACAGGTAGGTCTAAATTTAAATGAATTTAACTATACTTTTTAATATGAAATGAATTAATATGACATTTACATATTGATGCTTACTAGTAGTGATGAGAAAAGAAATATAAAAAATTAAAAAAAAGTGCATGAGCTGACAAAAGGGTACTTGTGAATCTAACAAAATGCACTCCATGTATGTTAAATTAATATTATTTATTTATTATCGATGTTATTAAGCTCTAAAAATGATGATTGGCATGGCATTTTGAAGTACATCAGAGGAACGGCTCATTTTAAATAGCAGTACTTGCATGGTTCCCTGAGTTGTTAAAACATGTTGGAGTTATAGCATGTAAAACAGGTGGGTCATAGACAAGGTAAATTATGGAGTGGTGAAAGACATGACATCTGTGGATCATTATGTTATATTTTGGACATTTTAATTCAAAGTGTTGATCTAAAATAACTTGAGAAGACACAAGTCCACTGACTTCCAGGTCAGAATATTGCTAACTCAGTGGGAGTCAGTTCCCTGCCGGAGTGTGCTGTTGCCTCCTCCATCCTGGATCATGCTTTTTGTGCCAACATGACTACACATTGCTGAATTCTACATGTATCACGGATTAAGAAAATTCATTTGAAGAGTGAAGTACAGAGCAGTGGGCGTGTTCGTTGTGGTGAAAATAGAGGCTGATCCGAGCATTGACGCCTTGAATACAGAAGAACAAACATTACTCAATGCATGAATCACCCTGAATATAACTTTGAGACAATTATAACATAGTTAAAGTGCATACTCTGTCTTCTTTAGGTTACGTAGGTTAGTGCGTGGAAGAAAAGTCTGAAAATAATGCAGCAAGGCAATGCCATTAGATGACATAGTAATGCTGTAGTCTTAATTTTAATACAGACATATTACTCAACTGGACTTCATTTGCTTGCAGATATAACCCGTTCAATGGAATAACCTGGAGAAAGCACCCAAATGATTTCTTAGAATCCCTGAGGCGTTCCACATACACAAAAGCAAACATTTTGTCACTAATATGTTTTCTTGTTAAGATTTTGTTTTTACTCACTGCTTCATGGGGAGAAAACTCGGCTCCACTTTTCCAGTTTGGGCAAATAAACTCGGGTAAATAAGCAGAGTGTAACTTTCAATGATAACCGCTTTTGTTTTGGGAGGTTTGTGTGTGCCAGTCATCGCCGCTTTGTCTTATCCTTTATATTAGCACTCAGGTGCAGTCAGTTGGAAATACAGGGTTCATTTTGTGCTTTCTGAAGATAGAGTTTGTAGTAGGCTAGGAGAAATGTAACTGCCATGGCATACGCAGGCCGCCGTGTTGTTTTAAGTTTTATTTCCTTCAGGGGAAATCATGTAAGATGTTATTCTTTAAGGCTGTCAACAACTCGCAGTGTGGTTGAATTATTTATGTTTTGTTAAAAAGAATGTTGTGACTGAAAATGATGTAGTAAAAATGTATCACTCAACTAGGAATTCAATATTAAAATACACAGCATTATTTATTTATTTTTGGTCGAGGTAGCTTTGGGACAGCAACATTTAAAGTGTGCCTATCAAACTTTTTTTTTTGTATGTTTTGTCCTATGTGTGATGGGCATTTTGAATGGGAAACAGGATAGATACTGAAATTTTATAATTTAATTTATAATTTATATGATCTCCTAAGAATGTATTTCTAGAATTCTGTTCTAAAATTCTATATTTTATGCTAAGTATATTAATTGGTTTTGGCCAGCCAAAGATGAATTTCTGTTTTAATAGACAGTAATGATTATATTCTATTTCATGAACCATAGCACAATATCATGTGGATGTTACAGTATGTATTGTACTGTATACACAATATTTTTTTCTCAATTGTAGATTAATTAATATACTATCATTAAAAAAAGCTTTAAAGGTGTATGTCTCCAGTAGGTTAGACTACTATAGTCTAAACTACTGGTTAGTAGGTAATCACTGGCCTATGCAAGCGAGCTGTAACATAGATGCAGTACATCCAAAATGCTGCTACTTGGGTCCTGACTCAAACCAGGATGTACAAGCACATCCTGTGCTCAGGTCTCTGCACTGAAATCCTTTGGCTCAGAGAATAGACTTTTAAAGCAGCTCTGCTTGTGTACAAGTCTCTCCATGGCCAAGCACCAAAGTACATCTCTGACATGTTAGTGCCATATGAACCATCTCGCACCATCTCTAAGGACCTCAAGAACTGACCTCCTGCTGGTGCCCAGAGTCAGGACTAAAAACATTCAGTTTTATGCAGCTAAAATCTGGAACAGTCTTCTTGAAAATCAAACCTCTACTTTGGCAATGTTTAAATCCAGGCTCAAAATGGCTGTGTTTAGCATATGACTAAAGGGTTTTTACTTTACAGTCTTCTCTTTAATGTTAATATTGTGATTATTTACGATTTCATTTGTTTATATTGTGATTTCAATGTCTTTCTTACTTTATGTATGAATCATGTTAAACATACAAAACTTGTCTTGATTTTAAGCTGATGAGTTGCTATTTGAACAATCTGCAATATGCTAATATGAGACTATTGACATTGGTCTATTACGTCGCTGCACAGAAGCACACTTGACCTTAAATCCTTTCATATCCTTAACACATTCTGTTGAAAGTTGGACATTAAAAGTCTGCATTGTCCTTTTGTGTTGTCATTTAAAAGACGACACCAGACTGATCCATGCTCTCAGGGACCAGACAAAGGCGCTGCTACACGTCCCGCAACTCTAAGCGACACCATTAACTCTGCCAACGCAACAGGATCCGCCGCTCATCCATTTACTGAAAAAGCTGCCTGGCCATTAGCTCGTTAACTGTAAATAATACGCCGTCCCTTGTTGATGAGGAGTGCACTATACACAACAACACACATATGGCGGCGGTGAAGGGAGGGAGAGAGGGAGGAGGAGGGAGAGGGGGCGGGTGGGGTTACCTGGGGGGCCCCGAAACAGGTGTCCCTCTCGCACGGGCGACCGATTTGCCCCTCACCGCCGGCACCTTGGCGTCTTCTGAGCCCCCGTTCAGGTATGTGAGTTCCTGCAGCTGGGCTTGTCTGATCTCATCGTTGTAGTCCTGTACACGCACACACAAAATACACACAGGCTCAACATGGCTTTCAATTACACTGGATTCAATTACAGGCTTTATCTGCAGGCCCACAGCCCCGGGAATATCTAATTAATGTACTTTACAGTAGTGGCGCGACCGCTGCTACTCCCTGTCGCAAAAAACATTCAGATCTTGGGCTGATAAAATCCTCAAGACATGGTTTTATCTTATGACACAGAAGCTAGTTTAAAGTAAATTAGAAAGAATGAAAATGAAAGGTGTCAGGTCATTTGTCCTTACTTCTTTCAGAGATTTTTGCAGTAATTACCAATGGTTTGAAATGTATAGCAAAATGTAATTAAAAATGTTTGAACAGAATTGTATGAAATTTAATGATATAACATCAGTGAAGACCACCACCAAGACATTAGCCCTATCTCGCAATAGTGACATGTGAGTTCAGAAATATGACTTTTGACTGATACAATGTAAGTAAATTATTAGGAAAAAACAATTCCCCTATACAAGTGGTCAGAACTGTAAATTATCCAAAATCAAGATAGAGCTGTAAAATTATAAAGGGTTGTCTGGGGGAAATGAAAATGACTAAGGAAGTAGTAAAAATAAACATGAGAGTTAAATCAGAGACATGGAAGAACATTACACCTTGGGTAATGACCTTTTTGATAACTGGTCCAATAATGTAAACCCTGTGGGAGCGATTACTCATAGAGCTATCGACTGATATGATTAGTGCATGTTGTTGAATCGATACATGTATTCCATAAACAGTGAAATGGGGCTGAGTGCGTGTGCTTATAATTAATCATGAGATGTAAATGATCATAGCTGTGAGCACAGGGCAGGTCATGCATTATAAATGGAGGAAGAGAGCTGGTTGGTACAGGGAGATTGGCCCATGTGGAGATGCTGCCTCCTGTGAACTGCATATCCAGATCTCACCCAAATACAGCAACACCTTCACACTGCCATGGCATGTTACTGCCCCAATTCAAAATCTGTTTTATTTCTATGATCAAAATAGTAAATGGGCTCATATTACACTATTTTCAGATTTAAGTTATAATGTTGTTTCCTTATAAAAAAAAAAAATAACAAAACACGGAGTTGTGTTTTGTTATATTCACACATGTTTAGCACAAATATCCTGCATATTTAGCCTGAGTTCTTCTCTCAAACATGATAATGGACTGAGCTGGAAAACAAAGTACAAAAAAAAATGTTAAGGTTTTTTCATATTTAAGTAAAAATCACTTTTTTGTAATTTATAAATGTATAAATCTTCATAACTATCATACTAACAAAAATGGTATTGATACATGGATAATTTCTACACCCATATGAGTAAAATCATATGAATATATACAATATGTGGCTGCTTATGTTTTAGATCAGCATTTCTGACTGAGGAGTCTTCCAGAATAGGGTAAAAATCCCCTAAATTTAGTCTAAAATTTGCTAGCTCAAAGAACAATTTCCAATTGAAAATACCATTCAAAACAAAATATAAAAACAAAAACACTGAATAAAAAGCAGGAGACCCATTCCACAGTCACTATTTTTCAATCATTCTGGTAGAAAGGACATCCTTCACACGATATTTGAAAGTGAAGTGAGTGATAACAGGAACATACTGGTATAAGGAATTTCTTGATCTCTTCCAGGGCATGACCCATTCTGGCGTAGGCTTCAGCGGGCGGGGCGAACACTTCAATGAGGACATGCAGGTCTTGGTTTAGATGCTGGTATTTGGCCTCTCCGCTTTGCCGTAGTTCCTCTTCCTGAAATACAGAGAGCAAACAATTTTAATTAGAAAAGAAAAAAGTGCCTAGAATACATATGTCATACCTTCAAACCACAACTATTCTACAGTATTGTGGGGGTGGGTAGACTCAGTGTAGGGGAATCTAGGCTTGCCAAACGGCTTTGCAGTATTTCATGTTTCATTTCATGTGTTGAGAGCATATAGCATGGTGAAATGGCTAAAGCTGTAGCATGATTATTAGCAGTGTTAAGCTAACAGATACTAAGAAAAAGTAAAGGAGAGATGGGTTTAGTTTTAAGTATGCATGGGACAAGATCTCGCACCACAAAATCTTGTGAGCTAAAATTGCAACAAACTAGTGTACACATGCAGGAAATTATCTTGTGGGACAAAAAGGGTTACATTTGCTGGCTTGTTGAAGTTGTAGTTCCAAAAAGCATTTACAATGATAGCAAAAATCTAAAATAAATACAAAAATTCTGAGGGCAAAATTGTGAATTGAACTGCACAGTTTATTTGTAAAAAATGATGTCAGAATCCTGTCCAGTCTTGGCTCATTTATTAGAATATGGGATAAAACCGCAAGGGATTAGTTGGATACAATATATAATTGTGTTCAAAAATGTATCTAATAATCAAGATCGAAATATTTGAGTGAGGTTCATTTGGTCGTCAGATAAGTTGATGTGACGTCACAGCAACATCACGTCACCACTCTGAAGAAGACCACCACTGGCGAGCTGTCCAAACTATCAGGTATGAAAACAAAGTAAACTTAAAGTAAATTAAGACTGATATAACTATTGAAATGTGGCACTTGTACATACATTTGAGAGTGTTGTGAATGTGCACTGCAATGACCTTTGAATCACAAATCTGCTCTATGATATAGAAATAAATAATAGTGAAAAGAGCTGACAGCATACAGGAGATACTGAGTCTGAATATATGAGCTGCACAGAGGAGACAAACAACCACATACTAGTAGTACTCTACTTCTATTCTGCTGCTGTTGGCATTTTTAAAAATAGGCCTCACCGTGATAAGCACACTATACAGCTGCTTGACACTTTGCCACTTCCTGCGCAAATGTCTTGGTTGCAGTGTGAGTGTCTCAGAGACACTGTGAAGCCCATTGTTCATTTTAATATTACTTGTGTAATGCATTATAGAGACTTTTTAACTACTAACATTTGCACTAGTATTGCACATTTTTACAGTAAAAGATGGTTATGTGTGGAAAATGAGAACATTCTAGCCCTGATTTCTGAGCATTCAAATTCAAAAAGCTAAAATAGTTTATCATAATTAAATATTCATAATCTCTTCTTCACCGTTGGGTATATGGAACAGGCAAAGAATAACAAACACACTGTAGTTGACAATATTGTTATCAGGTAATAGTTTGAACTAGGATTGAAACTAGTTTGTTGTTTGTTAGGTGAGGAGATCCTAAAAAAAATAATTACAATAATAATTAATATAATACTGGATACTTTTGGTGATATCCATGGTATTGAAAACAAAAGTATTAATATTGTGACAACACTAGTTTGAACATGCCAAAGTTCAACGATGATTTCCTTCTCTTCAAAAGTCATAAATGGTTCATACTTCCTTGGCATCATATGTGTCAAGTATGAAGTGAATAAAAACAAGTGAGAAGTCCTTCTTTGAAACATTCATCATTTTCTGTATTTCAGGAGGATTGACTGTGAGGAGTTTTACATAATGAGGTTGGATGCTCGGGTGCAGTGGAGTTGGGAGTAGACAAAGAGAAAATATTGATATGTCTGTACTGTGTATCCGGAGAAGACTGTCATATGTGACTGATTACTTTAGTCCTCTCCCAGCTGCCTGGCGGCCAAACAAACGTGCCATTGAGCAGCGCTTCATCATCATATCTGCTGGATGCCTTTGGTGTCATGATTCTTCCAATGAAACTTCATCAAAACGGGAGCGGCCTTTTCAGAATGCCTATAAACCAGACTTATCCACTGGAGAAGTTGAATTATAGTGCCGCCGGTAAAAGGGAATCATCTTTTTAAAATACACAAAAGGGATTTCATTTATTTCAATTCCACTCAATTTGAATAAAGACGTCTATCCTGTTAGGAACATCCAGTGCGCATTGTCATTTAGCTAGAAACTATTTGCTTTGAAGATCACAAATTTATTTAGTTATTGGAACTGGAGCAATACCCAGGAACTAGGGATGGGCATGAATAGTTGATTAATCGATAACTGATCATTAAGAATTTTGTTGATTACATTAATTTTTAATCGACAAACCGAATGTAGGTTGCTGTGCGTAGTGTAGGGTGACCAAACCCGGACATGTCCGCTTTCCACGTCCTGTCCTGGCCATCCAGATTTTTTTTTTTTTATATATAAAGTGATCCAAACGTCCGGGTTTTTATTACCTTTCATTGGGCCCATTAAACTGACTGGCTCTCATAGCTCTCTGCAGTCAGAATGAGCAAGCAGACACAAACAGTCGATCAGCCTGCAACATGTCGAAGCGCAAATGCACATTTAAAAAGAAATTCCCCGCTTTCCGGCTCGGACAGGACAAGTGGGAGGCCATGTGGACAGTGTACAAAGCAGGCACATATGTTTCGGTGTCCAGTGGGGGTGCCAGGGACCTCAAAGCTCACCAGGACACCAAAAAACATTAAAAAGCTCTGCCAGGTGAGAGTAGCTCAATGTCAACGACAAGGCCCCACCTCCCACCCCCCCATACAGTGTCCTGGTTTTGACAAGCAGAAATGTGGTCACCCTAACCATATTGCACTGAGACGTGTCCTTTAGTCCGACAGAAGTTGACTGCGCACAAGAGCTGTTTTTTTTTCTTCACTTAGTTTATGCAAATTAGCAATGTGGTTTTAAGTTTTGTTTCTGTGATACTTGCACAAAGCTGCATTAAACACATTATAATGTCAAACAGGTTGATGTGGCTCTATACTGGTTACGGTTTATATGTTGTAAAGTTTAATTTATTTATGCAGATTAGTAGTGCAAATAGTAATAATAATTATGATAATTTTAATATAAAAACATTTGATTATTCGATAACTGATCGTTAACTCTCCCGACGATCGATTAAGAAAATTTAATTGAATGCCCATCCCTACCAGGAACCCAAATAAAATACATTGCAATTGTTATTATTGTTTTGTTGTTGTTGTTTTTAAGATATGCAAAATAATATACATTATACTGTCAATTAATTATAAAAAATAGGCTGTAGACCTGAAGTAAAACATAAAGAAAATAAATTTGCTGTATGTACTCTTCCTATAAGAATATACAGCATGATATACCTACTCTCTAAGTTATATTGTTGCACATTTCTAATTGATTGCCATAAAACATTATCATTATTGGGATAATGCAAAAAAAAAATATTAAAATACAGGTATTTACTTCAATATTGTCAAGGAACAGACAGTACACTCACGAGAGGGAGAATTGAACCGTCAACCACCAGGGACGCGATCAATTGATTACACGAGGTCACAGTTATCGACCTATCCACTCTTCTCTTCTCAGTAATTTGACTCTTAAATCATTCATACTTTTCTAAGACAATGGGCAGATGTAACAGACATATTCAACAGCTGTGAGAGAGTCGATGTGCTATTTGTATCTCTGCAGATTATTGGAATAAATTAAGCAAGAAACACTAAGCATATGCAAACACATAACACAAAAAAAATTACATTAAAATCATTTTGTTCGAATGCAGAAATCAAAATAAGTATAACTACCTTAGACAAGTTAGTTTATCTACTTCGCTCCTTGTGGGATTTGGGAATATCACATTGCAGTGCATAGTCGCCATATTTGTGTTCTCTGCTTAGATTCATACTCTGAAGTCTTCCCTGGAGGAACATTCCGAATCATTAAAAGCTCTTTGTCATAATAACAATCTGCAACCAGTGGAGGCGTTTACAGAGTCTTGCGGCATCCTGCTCAAATGCTTCAACTCCGGTATCAAACTTTCATCCCACTATTTTGCCCACTGCTCCATCAATGTTTAAAACCGTGCCCTCTCCATGACCTTCTCCAGATGGTGGTCCAGGTGTGCAGTTCATAAGTAAGCCACATGCCTGCTCTGCCGAACGTCCAAAGAAAGTGCAGACCACACCGAGTCAATCGTCGCCTTCAACATCCTTCTAGATAGAAAATCGTTATCAAGTGTTTTTTTCAATTCAGGTGGAGTTGAATGCACCTCCAGCAGAGCAGAAGCAGCAGGCACACCAAAGCTTCAGGTAAACATTTGCTTCAATAGATTTTTTTTTTTTTTTCTGTCAACACTCACCTACGGCTCAGAATACAAACTTGGATAATAATGAAGTTTGTCAAAATTTGTGAAGCTTCAACGAATTAGGGATGATGTTTTTTGTCGCAACTACACCCAAAAGGGAAAGTGAATGAATTTGATTTTTTTTCTTATTAAAAGCAAATCAAATATAAATATAACTTTAAACTTAACATATTATTTTCTTAACATAAACATATTTTTCATATTTCTACTTGCTCTGCTCCAGTGGGAAATGTCTTGGCCAATAACACAAAAGTTTCATGTTTAGGTCATATTTGATTCAGCAAGTCTTTAGAAGCAGGGAAATACTTACCAACAGAATTCATTTCAACAATAGCCATCTCTCTAGACTAAATTTCTTTCATTGTAATGTAACACATTTGGCAGTTAGTTGGGCAAAGTGACCACCATTACCCATGCTTAATTACGAACAATTGCTTAGTTTTAAGTTGGGCCACATTCAGTGAGAGAAATGTTGGAATACTCGGTGGTGTTGTATAATTGAAAGATGATATTAGCACTGGCAGAACAGCAGTGGAGATGGGTACTTTGTGAAAAAATATCCAAATCTGCCTGTGCCAAACTCCATATTATACCCCATTATACCATCAGCGGTCAGAAACAAAAGGATACATATTTCCATGTTGTGCCAAAAATGAAACCTCTCTAATGAACACATTGCTGAGCAA